TCAAACAGAAAACACAACCTTATTTTTCTTTACAAAAGCAAAAAAGGAAACCAAAAGAGATACAACCTTTGACCTATACTTTGCCGTCTTGTCTTCTTTCTCGTTTGCTTGGGCACCTCCAGCCGGTGTGAGGAAGGCCCCCCGCAGGGTGGGGAAGACTCCCAGCAGAGGGTGGGAGTGATTTCGTTAACCTGCTGCTTCTATACAGATCTTGGAGTGGCATGGCAGGTGGCGGTGTGACGGGACAGTCCCCAGAGGGGCTAAGGGATTTGGGCAGGAGGCTTGCTGCCTGGGCTGGGCGGGGCTGGAAGGTACCTCAGGAGTTTGCTGAACATGGAAAGGTGTCCCAGGCAGAACAGCTTGAGCCAGGCTCAGGCAGAAAGTGCTTGCTCAGCTCTGCAGAAAAGCCTGTCCCAGCCAGCAGCCCCTGACCTTCCTGATCCCTGGCTGCAGACAAGGGCCAGCATGTGACAGACCTTGTCTTCCCCAAGCCCACTTGGAATGTCCTGTGATCCTCTCTGCAGCCATGCTCACCACCTGTACCTGCAGGTGCAGGGCCAGATGCCAGCTGTCCCAGTGGAGACCAGCCCTTCCTACACCAGGAGGGCCGACATCCAGGCCCAGCGCCTTGGCCAGAGGAGGCGAGAGAGGGCTCAGAGATGCCGCACCGGCCTCCTAAGTGTCCCCAGCCCAAGTTCTGGGGTAGGGTTGTCCGGTGACTATGGGGCCTGTGTTTCTGTCAGCTTCAGCTGAACTTGGAAGTAACAGGCCTGCACTCCAGAGCTGATGTGGGATGGTTGAACCACACACAGTATGGAGGAAGTTGCAGCCAGTGTGAGCCTCTGTCATTCTGGCCCAGTACCCTCTGGGGAGGATGGACAGCTGGGGGTGGTTAGCTCCCTGCAGCTGTGATCTAAACCAGACCCCAAGGGCAGATTGGAGGGCTGGGTCACTTGCTCTACGCAGAAGCTGGCCCTCTGGGTGCCAGGACTCACCACTGAGTTCTCTGACCTTGGGGGTCCTTGGGATACTCTCTGGGGGCCTAAGATAGCCCAGCATTCTCTACCTGGACCTGAGGCTCAGACCCTGGCAGGGAGGGGATGCTGCCTGGGTGGGTGTGCATGGGGAGGTGGAGGCAGAGGTGGCCTGAGGCTGGTGCTGAGAAGGGGTGAGGGGTCTTGTGGGACTCAGCACTTTCAGTTGCCAAGGTCTGGGTGACATGCTTTGAGCCCCTGCCAGTGAGCTGAACCAGGACTCCAGGCTGTGAGGGCCAATGGGGTGTTCCCGGCCGGAAGCCCATCTCCAGTCGCATACCGGAAGACACTGGGGAAACAGTCTGATTTACGGTTTTGCTTCCTTGGTTTGGGGGAAGGTGCCTGTGCCACCCACCTTCAGAGGGGCTGCATGGTTTAAGACTGGAGTGGGGCTCAGTCCGGCAGGGGGAGGCAGTGGGGAAGTGGACATTTGCGAATGTCTGGTCTGGCCCTGCTGACCTGCCATGACCCTAAACAAACACAAGGGGGTCAGGCTGGACCTGGGGAGTGGGGACAAGGGGCCCTGGAGGAACCTCACAGGGACAACAGTCCAGTGCCGGGCCAGATGCACTGACATGGAGCCAGGGGGCAGCCAGTGGGCCCCAAGGAGCCAAGGTCACAGCCTCAGCCACCCTGGGGACAGGACAGAGCCTCCTACCTCAGGGTGTGCTCTGAGCCGCTGGCTTTGGACCTAGACAGACCCAAGGATGAAGCCACCACAGGGGTATTTTTCCTGCTCGCCTAGAACGAAGTGGGGACCATTAATGCTTAGGAGCTGCTCACCGATGTGCAGCTTGGAGCCGAGTCGGCTGGCCCTGGGCAGGAGCGCTGGGGTTTGGGGGGAAAACCTCTGCAAGCTGACTGGGGTGCGGGGTTGTCAGCACTGCCCTTGCTGCCCGGAAAAATCAAGTGCAATGTCAGAAATTCTGGCAGGAACTATCATGCCTCTCCTTTATGCTTTTGGTTTACAAAGTGATTTTTGGTGTGACTCTTGAGGCTTTTCCCCCCCTCGGCGTTAAGTAATCCTTTGTTGTTCTCCTTGATTCTAAGGGTGGAAGGAGTTTTCTGGTGGTGATTTTTTTTTTTTTTTAACCAAAAGTTGTTCAACTTTTGGGGAACCAAGAAAAGTCTGAGCCCCGAATCTATGTACGTAGCAGCATTTTCGGTTTGGTTTTTCCTCTACTTAACTGAATTAAATACATGTTACTTAGTTGAATCATGTAGAAATTGATAGATGAATAAATATGTAGGGGTGTACTTACTGCCTGTAGCATCTTAGAAATCAGGCAGCCACGAGACAGGGGTGGGGGGGTACGGTGCAGGAGATACTTGGTGCCTTTTAGAGAAATAATTTCCTTAAAAAAATTTAATTTCTTAAATTGCCAGTGAATATTTCCAAATTAGCGCATCTAAATTCTGTGCATTAGTGCAAACCCAGGGTGTGTAGCCCTGGCTTGCCAACCACGTTCCCCAGGAACGCTAAGGGGTCCCCTTCTCAGCTAAGAGATGCATGATTTCCCTCTCAATCTGGTGTAGACACAGCACAGCAAGGGTAGCGGGGTAAACACAAAGCACATGGTTTCCTTAAATTGATTTTATGGCAAAGTCTCATACACAGCAGCTATCCCTGGCCAGGGCATTTGATGACTTTGAGTCCTACCCACAGCTGCAGAGAGGTTTGCTGAGCTGGGATCTTGTCTAGAGATTTGGGTGTTTTTTTGTTTTTTGTTTTTTTCTGCAGAGACATTGACGCCTTGTCATGAACTTGCAGCTTCCAAATTCACTGTGGTTGGGCTTGAGGGATAAGAGTTCTCTATTTTGAATTTATAAATAGTAAGAGAAGGGGTTAGATTCAATATTTCATTTTTATTGGGCTCCTTCACCCAAATTTGCCAAATATCAACTGCACTGGCTGATGACTTTACAAAAAAGCTTGTATAAATAAATGTCCCCAAGTGACCCTGACACATGGAGCAATACAGGAAGAAGCCAAATTAGCAGGTCTCTTTTTCTGCTCCCATGCTGAGTAGACAGTAAGCAGCCTGAAGTTGCTCTTACACACATTTTGTTGTCCTTGTATTTTCCCCCACAAAATCACTAGGAACACCTGCGAATAATATGGATTTTCTAAATATTATCCTATGGCAGGCCGGCCCGGTGGCGCACTGCTACAGTGCGCCGCTTGAGAGCGCGGTGGCGCTCACGCTGAGGGTTCGGATCCCACATACAGACCGGTTCCCGCTCACTGGCTGAGCGAGGTGCAGGTGCAGCACCGAGGGTTGCGATCCCATTGCCGGTCCCGGTCCGGTACGGGGGCAACACTGAGGGTTGCGGTCCGTTGCCGGACACGAAAAAAGACAAATAAATAAATAAATAAATAAATAAATATTATCCTATGGAAAAACAAAACTGTATTATGGAGTTTAGTTAATATTGGTTCATTGGGGGCTGGCCCCCGTGGCTCACTCGGGAGAGCGTGGCGCTGGGAACTCAGCGACGCTCCCGCTGCGGGTTCGGATCCTATATAGGGATGGCCGGTGCGCTCACTGGCTGAGCGCAGTGCGGGCGACACCAAGCCAAGGGTTGCAATCCCCTTACCGGTCACAAAAAAAAAAAAAAAAGACAAAAAATATTGGTCATTGGTTGTGACAAATGTACCATAGTAATGTAGGTTGGTAGATGTAGGGAAACTAGACGTGGGTATACAGGAACTCTCTGCAGAGTTGGCCCTCTGTATCCAGGGGCATCCACAGATTGAAAATATTCAAAAATAAATAAATAGCAATACAACAACAAAGAATAATACAAACTAAAAATACAGTATGAGAAACCATACAACAAATGAGAAGGGAAAAAATAAATAAAATGCAGTATGACAAATACTTACCTAACTTCTACATTGTATTAGGTATCGTAAGTAATTTAGAGATGATTTCAAGTATACTGGTAATTTTTGAACAAGAGGCCCCACATTTTCCTTTCCCACCAGGCCCCGCAGTTATGTAGCTCATCCTGCCAAGATGGAAGCTGGCAGTCATCATCCCAGGAAATAGGACAAGGCAAGAGCGAAAGCAAGGCAAGAACTTCTTGTACACTTCTGTACAGCAGACATGTCTACAAACACTTAGACTTTTCCAGCTTTATATGCATATCCAGAACATAAGAAGACGTGTTCAGGGAGAATCTATCTGCCCAGTGGAAAGAGTGTGGGCTTGGAAGGGCCCTCTAGGAACGGGATATAATTCTGCCTTTACCAGTCAGTTACTGGCCCACTCACCTTGGAAAACTTACTCCCTTTGCTGAGACTCAGTTCCCTCCTAGGAAAAAAAAATGAGAATTATTTTCTACCTCTTGGGGCTGGTGTAAGATTAAAGGAGTCAGTGATGTGAAAGATATGGACCATGCCTGGGAGTTATCAGGTGACTCCTACATAGTAACTGGTATTAGGGATCAGGAGAACATGCTGAGAGCA